TGAAATTGGCCTTCAACTTTCAATGTTATTGCCACACATCCTGCGCTAGTCCAGCATAGCTGACTATATAATTGTGACCAAATGCCGCCTAAAAAGCGACCATGATTCTCAATCTAGGAGCAGCACGGTAATACAATGACACTTTGAAGTAGCCGTCCACCACCTATTATATATAAGTATAGCATTCTTGTGCAGTCAGGAGTGAAATGTGGAGTGATCTGCAGCCGTGATGCTCTATATATCGTCAACACAGGCGTATAGCACGAAGTGCTTTGGCGAAATATTTAGATGCGTATATAATCAGCGCGTTGTGCTGATATAATTAAATAGGCGTATTTCTCACTCATATATGTCATATATATTTCTCGCTCATATATATTTCTCGCTCTATATATATGTCCATTTATGCCAACGACGCTCAACGATATATATATACGGGCTCGTCAGGCTATCGATTAAATGCGTATTTTATGCAAACATTGACCTTATGATGTACGCGCGCGAGTCTCGTAAAATGTTCAGTGAATAGGCTAAAGTTTACCTCATTATAGATATGTTTCGAAGTTATTACAAATAATAGCTTTATTCCTGAGTTATAGTAATCCTGTAGAGTTTTTATCAGTAGTTTATTTAAGTCCCAACTTAAGAAAGAATTTGAAAGCAATGAACAAACGTGTCAAGTTTGCGATGAATGTATAATGGTGAAATTACTGGTCGTCTTAGTTACTCATAAATTATTGGATAATTTCGTTGTTTAACTAACGGTGCTAAAGCAGTGTGATGGATGAGTCACAAGACTCATTTCGAGCGCACATTTGAACTGGCGAAGCACAGGAATCGATGCGAGTTTTTGTGGTCATCGCGCAAGCTTACTCAGGAAAAACGATCAAATGACCGCCAACCAAAACATTGCCGCCACAGTCCAGTGATCGCTCCGCCGTACTTATTGAGACTCGATATATACAGACCGTAACATTTTCTGATATCTTCAAATATTCATTAACTAAAATGATGGAATAAAGATAGCAGCTTCAAAATACATAGCAGTGGAATGCATAATTTTTTGGCTACAATTTCTATAATAATCTTCGCAGGATTGTATAGAAAAATATATATGCAGAATGACTCAGCGCCAGCCTGACGGACACATACACGCTGTGCGCTCACTACACTCGTATGCGTATAACATGTATAATATGGTACGCAAGATATTCATACATACGCGCTAAACGCACACAACATCCATATGCACACATACACGCTGTGCGCTCACTACACTCGTATGCGTATAACATGTATAATATGGTACGCAACATATCCATACATACGCGCTAAACGCATATAACATCCATGCACACATACACGCTTTGTGCACACTACACTCGTATGCGTATAACATATATAATATGGTACGCAACATATCCATACATACGCGCTGTACGCATATATAACATCCATGCACACATACACGCTTTGCGTGCACACTACACTCGTATGCGTATAACATGTATAATATGGTACGCAACATATCCATACATATACGCGCTGTACGCATATATAACATCCATGCACACATACACGCTTTGCGCACACTGCTTATGCAAATAACCGCGCACAGGTCGGCCGCCGGCGTTGCGCCGATGCCACGCCGATGCCACGCCGATGCCACGCCGATGCCTCGCCGATGCCACGCCGATAACTGACCCTCTGTTTAATTGCTGAGGCGGAATATCACACAGGGCTCTCGTACCGCTTGTATCAGTGATATGAGGGTAAAGCGTGTTGAAGTTTGCCCAAGAGAGGGGACGGCGGAGCAAGGGGAAAAGTGAGGGTAAATGTGAGGGTAAGCAATTAAGCTAGATATCTCATGAGCTTTATCTCTGCATAATATTAATTAAATAATAATCTGGGGAAGGAAGCAATCAATGGCAAATAATTTAATTAGATAAAATTAAAGAGATTATTGCCTTCATGATACAATATTGTAATTTTCTGAACATTATGAAGCAATATTAAAATTTATCAACAATATAGTGTTGAGATCAGCAGTGAGCTATACTATAATTAAATAATATTAAAACAACTTACATATGTGAGCATCATTGAAATTTGCCCGACAATATTGCTAAATTTTTAGCACATCATGAATCAATATTGATATATTAATTGGCCCACTGCGCAGCGTATTGATAATTTCGGCTCACTATATGAAACAATATTGACATTTTAGCAAATGATAAGCACAACTGGAATTTTTTCTCAATAAGAAGCCAAATTAAACTTTCATGGACGAAATAAAGTAAATAGCTTTTTTACAGAAAAAATGTTTTGAGATCTACATATGATATTCGATCAGGTCAGATGTTTTCAACAAGTTATGATTATGGGATTTTATCAGGGACATGCAACGACAGATAATATTAATCAACTATTCACAATTTATTGACCATTAATATTATCTAACTCTAAAATTATTGTACTAGCCCCTGATCAAATGAGGCAGAAATGTATTGTTTTTTCACAGATTTCGGATTATCTTCATAATGGAAATAGGCAATATATCGCTCCTAGGCAAAATACTTTTAAAGGAATTAGCTGTTCATGGAAATATTGTTCAATAAAATATCGTTATAGTGGATATATATCCTTATTAAATTTCTTTAAATATTAAATATCATTATTAGGCGATATGTTTATATTTTAGTCAGCATTTCTTGATCTTCACAATCACCTTCAAAATTCAGCTTCGTTCATTCTATTTCATCAAGATATTGAATCTTATACACTGAACTAAAAAGTATTTTCACGTCGACTTCAATTTAATGTGCACTTTTCGTTAAATTTTAAAAAATCAAAAATCCAACACAATGGCCGCGCTCATTGCAGTCCTCTGATTGGCTGTCACTCTGAAATACGGTTATGATTTGATAAAATACCATCTACCAATGGGAGCACCTGTGAGTTTTATAAAATATTGATATTGCCTAATACTGCATAATTCCAACGAGTTTGAGTTTATTTTGCGTGATATTTTATAATTACTGTGAGTTTAAACTTGAGATTGCATGATTTTTTCTCAATACCAACGAGTTAAAGTGGATATTGCATAATCTTTCATAGAATAATTTTATAGCGATTTTAATAACAATAAATGAAAATTCATATACAGGAGAGTTGAAAAGTTCCGATGAAAGTTCATATACGGGAAATTTGATGTTGATTTTACATATAATACCAGCAACTTACAGTTGATATTGCATAATACCGTTGAATTAAATACCGTTGAATTAAAGGCAATCACTCAGATTGCAACAATTGGCCGTGCCTGGACATCGTAATAACGCACGAGGGTCGCGAGTTGAGGGCCCTTATGAGGGTAAGGCTGAGGGGCGCCTCTTTGACGATCCACTGTCTCAGGAATGCGTAAGTCCCGCACATAGAATGCGTACGTCCTGAATAGAATGCGTACGTCTGTGCTGGAATGATTATGTCCATATCAGAATGCGTACGTCCCGAATGGAATGCATAGGCCCCACCTGGAATGGTACGTAGGTCCCACCAAAAATGCGCACGGTACGCCAGAAATTCTTAAAACCAACCAGGAATCTATTCAAATATAAAGACTCACCTGGAATCTGTAAGATCCACTAGGAATGTGTAAAACCCACTAGGAATCTGTAAGACCAGCACTAGGAATCTGTATGATACACCAGGAATCTTTAAGAACTATTATATATAAGTATAGCATTCTTGTGCAGTCAGGAGTGAAATGTGGAGTGATCTGTAGCCGTGATGCTCTATATCGTCAACACAGGCGTATAGTATGGAGTGTTTTGACGAAATATTTAGATGCGTATATAACCTGCGCGTTGTGCTGATATAATCATACGTGTATTTCTCGCTAATATACGACCATTTATACCGACGACGTTCAGCGATATATACGGGCTCGTCAGGCTATCGATTAAATGCGTATTTTATGCAAACATTGACCTTATGATGTACGCGCGCGAGTCTCGTAAAATGTTCAGTGAATAGGCTAAAGTTTACCTCATTATAGATATGTTTCGAAGTTATTACAAATAATAGCTTTATTCCTGAGTTATAGTAATCCTGTAGAGTTTTTATCAGTAGTTTATTTAAGTCCCAACTTAAGAAAGAATTTGAAAGCAATGAACAAACGTGTCAAGTTTGCGATGAATGTATAATGGTGAAATTACTGGTCGTCTTAGTTACTCATAAATTATTGGATAATTTCGTTGTTTAACTAACGGTGCTAAAGCAGTGTGATGGATGAGTCACAAGACTCATTTCGAGCGCACATTTGAACTGGCGAAGCACAGGAATCGATGCGAGTTTTTGTGGTCATCGCGCAAGCTTACTCAGGAAAAACGATCAAATGACCGCCAACCAAAACATTGCCGCCACAGTCCAGTGATCGCTCCGCCGTACTTATTGAGACTCGATATATACAGACCGTAACATTTTCTGATATCTTCAAATATTCATTAACTAAAATGATGGAATAAAGATAGCAGCTTCAAAATACATAGCAGTGGAATGCATAATTTTTTGGCTACAATTTCTATAATAATCTTCGCAGGATTGTATAGAAAAATATATATGCAGAATGACTCAGCGCCAGCCTGACGGAGATGCTTGATTCACGTCGGCTCCCGCAGCCCAGAACCTATGACATAGAACCCTGGGTAAGGCAGCTCATATGTTGGGCGAACGATGTAAAAACTGTATACATGTTGTACTCTCCATCAAAGAGTTCTTCATCGAATTTAGCCTGTCCTTCACAACCTCCCTCCTCTTCCCTCCTTCCTTCCTTCTCCCGAGAAAATGTGGAAACTAGAAACGCCCATAATGATGACGCCCCTCCTAGGGGCTCTTTTGCACCTCCTTTGTTCGGCCCATCGGCCGAGGGCTCCTCCTTGTCGCGCGGTCCGAGCGCAGAGTCGGCCGCCGCTCGCGCAGTTCCCCCAAACCTGGCAACGATTGCGCCCGCGCGCGTCAGGCTCAGCTCAGTCGCATCCACTCACGGCGCTACACATCGTAATCGTTCCGCGCTTGATTTCATACTCATAATCATCTTACACATCATGATTTCGGTGTTCATTTCATGATAAGTCTAACTGACAGTCACAAGGAAGATTTTTTTACTAGGTGAGGCAAGAAAAAGAACTTGGTTATGGTGTTGTTGTGTCAGTGATGTACCGACAACAGCGAGACGCTGTTCGGCTTCAGAACGATCTTTGACTGCAGGACTTCGTCTTCAGAAATCATTGCGGATTGCTTTACTTCTACTTGGTTGTGCAATTATAAGTGTGATCAATTTCCGGTGTCGTAAACATAACAAAATTAAATTAAATTTTATTGTCATAATTAATATGTGATCCGAGAACACCAGCAATATTTTGAAAATAACTTTTCGTGGAGCTATCGGGTGTTAAATCGATTTCACAGCGGAATAAGTAAATAAATAGTAAAATCGTGGTTTGCCAGTCAACTGATTAATTTCACAATAATATTAAGACCTGCCTGCGCTTCGTGATGCCGACATCGCAGGACGAGGACTCGCGTTCGTCAGACGTGGCTGGCGACATGGCTTCGTCAGCCCTAAACCTGTCCTCCATCATTAAAATGAACGCCAAAAGGAAACCTGACAAATCGAAAATATGCAGGATTCGTGCCGGTGAGTAATTATCAAAATTTTGTGTATATCTTTTTGTTATTAAAAAGTATATGTATATTGTTGAAAATAATTAATTGTAATTAAGCCGTGCAGATAGTTTTCACGGACTATAGTTTCATGCAGACGTGTTTTGAAGTTTATTCATGATTTTTTTCATTTAGTTATAGTTTTATAGTTTCGCAATTCAAACATGGTATAATCATTGCAACAAAACATCCGTGCAATATCAATGTAACAACAGCAATTAACTAAAAAATTATCGAGCTGATAATAATTATAAGACCTAACATAAGAGTGCTTAACCACTTAAAACTTAGGACGGCGAAATTTATCTCAACTTTCATGATGTATCGACAAAAAATTTAAATCAAAATTCGCAGGTTATCAAAATTCTTCGATAATTATTTCACTAATTGAATATGCATGGATGTATATAGCTTAAGCTCTGGTCGCTATATATGTTCAATTAATTCAGCAACGTGACGTTAATGTGGATGCTAAAATTTTTAAACTACACAATCGATAAATCAACATAAGCGTTAGAAAATGATTATAAAATATTATTGTTGTGACTATTCGGAGCACCTAAAAGGTTAAATAACATTCATGTTAAGTAAATATAGTCTTATTCAGAAAATATAATAATTTATTTAGTATTTAAATCATTATATATAGTTCGCTTAAATCGAAATTTCAACAAAAAAGTAAAAGCGAACGAATCGTCAAATAAATTCACATCATATTATCATTAACGATATAATGTAAAATGAACTATTAATATTATTTTTTTATTATATGATTATAAGGTGCAGCTGAGAGGTTACCTAATATTAATGTTGGGGGAATATGATTAAATTAGCACACGCGTGTCACAGCCACACATTTTCTTGAGTGTCTATGAGCCGCCAGCAGCTAATGGCAGGGGCGGTCAAATTACGTCTGCGATTTATAGAGTCTATTTCATGGTAAATTATATGCCTGTTGCAAGTGAATAACCATCGGCACTTGCTGAATTTTTTTAAAAAACCCAAATTTTTCCTGAACAAATACTGTGTATCAATTTATTTATTATAGTTATAGTTCTTTTGTAATACTTCAACAGACTTAATTAATTAAGCGGCCGGGACTTAAGCAAATTGTTTCACCCCTCGGTTCATCACAGAATTTATATATATATATATATATTTTCTTTTTTTGTTTAGTTAGTTAGGGAATTCATTTACCTTTACCTTTATTACCTTTATTCAGGTGTTTACATTCAGGGAAGAGTTTATATAGTTACTCACACTGCAGCTATTTTCTAACCAATGGAATGTTTAAAGCCACTTTTTAATGCGAAAGTCTAAGAGAACAATTTCTTTTATTACAATAATATATACGAATTTTGCGGCCTGTTTTTAATGTGTATGTATTGAAGTACTTAAATTTGTTTCTTGGTAATTTTTCAACTGAAATTAATATTTTTCTACATAGATGTAAGCCACGAAAGCAAGTCAAGTTTTTCAAATTGATTCGGGCGTAAAAATAATTCATATTAATGTTTGGTCATATAGTAACTTAAGAACCGAAGCTATGAATTACACTTCAAGCTGTAATTAACGTTCATAATAAATTATATTTAAGTGTTCTGCAAAAATTTTGCATCTTTAACGAAAGGTCAAGCAAAATACAAGCTAACATCACTCCAACATCTGCCGCACACTTCTTGCTGTGTTATATATGGGCGGCTCATTAATGATATAGGCGGCTCAAGGCGGCTCATTAATGATATGGGCGGCTCATTAATGATATAGGCGGCTCATTAATGATATAGGCGGCTCATTAATGATATAGGCGGCTCATTGATGATATAGGAGGCTCAGATATGATATAGGTGGCTCAGATATAATATAGGTGGCTCAGGAATAATTATAGGCAGCTCAGATAGGATAGGCGGCTCAAAAATGATATATAGATGGCTCAGATATGATATAGGTGACTCAGATATAATATACGCGGCTCAGATAGGATAGGCGGCTCAATAATAATATATAGGTGGCTCAGATATGATATAGGTGACTCATGCAGATATGATATAGGCCGCTCAGATAGGATAGGCGGCTCAGAAATGGTGGCTCACAAATGATATAAGTAGCTCAGAAATGACATGTGCGGCTCAGAAAAGTCATGAGCAGCTCAGACTATAAGTCACTATTGCCAGTCTCATCAATTTATTACATTAAAACTCAGCGCATTAGCCAATGTTAAAAGTAATAACAAGAATAGTGGTACGTGTGTATAATATTGCAGGACAAGATTATTTATTTTGCTTGAATTTATTTAGTTTGATTTAGTTGCATTTTATAACGAGATATAGTTTTATTTAGCGTTATAATATATTATCTTTTATTTTTATATACTCTATTTTATTATTAGGAAAATTATTTATGTATACTCGAAATTATTATACATATTGTATACTTTTAATATAATATATTATATTGCTTACATTTATTGTATACTAATAAAAAAATACAATAAATCATAATAGGTGTTCGCCCAAACTAACTTAAATCGAGGTAATGAATCCATATTTTGTTCTAAAGTTATTATTTTGGTATAACTGTAAATACCTTATTAGTATAGTTTTTAGTGCAGCTAGTAAATTAGTACATACCGTACATTATATTATTACATATATTATATTAGCCTAGTTAAATTATGGACAATATGTTTGTATATCAGAAGCATCAAACATTTTGCATACATTTAAATTGCAGAAATACATACAATTTCTAAATTCTTTCACTCCCTTTCCATCAAAAAAATTGACAGATATTATATCCATAAAGTATCAAAATTTCATAAAGAAATTTCGTCATGAAATTTTATGCTTCCTCTTCAGCTAAATAAAGTTTTACCACGGAATAAAATTCACATGTTAACCTCCTCGTAAATGGAAACTTGAAGATCCCGATCCGATGATGATGAATCAAACTCTAAATTTGAGTCACACTCTATATTTGAATAACAATCTATATTTGAATAACAATCTATATTTTAATCACACTCTATATTTCATCTATGATCTAAACGCAATAAAAGACTCATGAACGCAAAACTGGAACGTAAATCCGCCGGTATTACTCGTAAAAATAAAGAAGGTAATTATTAATTACACACTTTCTGTAATGAGCACAATACCAACTAAACTAACTTCAGGAAAATCTTGTCATCTTAAACTGAATCGCGGACAATAAAAGATAATGCAGGCGGTCAGTGAGTGGCCAGTGATGCTGACCTCTATAGTGATACTGGCGGCCAGTAGACAGTGACAGTGACGGCCAGTGATATTGACGTCCAATTGGTGGCCTGTGATTCTGGCGGCCAGTAAGTGGCCAGCGCTACTGGCAGCCAGTAAGTGGCCAGTAATTCTGGGAGCCAGAAAGTGGCCAGCGCTACTGGCAGCCAGTAAGTGGCCAGTAATTCTGGCTGCCATTAAGTGGCCAGTGATACTGGTGGCCAGTAAGTGGCCAGCGCTACTGGCGGCCAGTAAGTGGCCAGATATGTTACGTGGGTTATATGCACCAGTAGCGAGGAAAATGCCGTAGAACCTCAGAAAAACAAACGTTGTTCAGCCGCCGCCCGCGCCCCACGTCAGTGGCCGGTGCTGGTCAATTGGGCCGCCGCCTCTATGGGAACTGGGTGAGGGTAGCGGAGTGAGGGTAGCGGAGTGGAGGTAGTGGGGGTAGTGGAGTGAGGGTAGCGGAGTGAGGGTAGCAGGGTGAGGGTAGCGGAGTGAGGGTAGCAGGGTGAGGGTAGCGGAGTGAGGGTAGCAGGGTGAGGGTGAAGCTCGAGTGCCTCTGGCAGCCTGCCAACCCATTACCGCTGTTCTACCTCGGCCGTCATTGCTCTACCTCGGCCGTCATTGCTCTACCTCGGCCGTCATTGATCTATCCGGCCGTCATTGCTCTACCTCGACCGTCATTGATCTATCCGGCCGTCATTAATAATAACGTATAATAATAACAGTTTCAGCGGTTATTAGGCAGTAGAGCTGCCGAGGTTTTTTCAGAGCATTCACATATTTGGGCGGTCTCGAACACGCAACTCACTTCTCCAATTAATCTGCTGTGCTTATAACCGCCCGGCCTCCTCGCCGATTCTGACCAGAAACTGGCGCACAGAGAGTAGCGCCAGTTTCTCGATCTCTAGCGCCAGATCGAACCCGCACCTCTCGGCTCCAATCTTGGTACTCTGAACTTTAACCACTGGGCCTTTGTTCTTCCTCGGCCGTTATCGTTCTTTCCTGACCGTTGATCCCGTATCATTTGACCGTTATGGACACTGATCCTAACACTGCATAACACACACTGGCCGTAAGATTGACTAACTTACACTGACCCTCAGATTGACTAACTTACAATGCCCTCAGATTGACTAACTTTTACTGCCCCTCAGTTTGACTAACTTACACTGCTTCTCAGATTTACTATCGTACACTGCCCCTCAGATTATCCAAAGATCTTGAGATATACTGCGTAATGTTAAACAATTGATAAACGAAATGAATATTTTGTGTTCCGCAAACATCCACTTTTTTCTTGGCAATTGGTATAAATGTCGAATTCGCTTGTATTAAATACGCGGTATTCAGAATTATGTAATATGGCGCTATGCGACATATAACAGCATATATACCTGGGTGAATTTCCAGCGATATCTCAAACAGAAGACGGAGGAAGAATCACTAGTTTGCCTTGCTAAGTATTTTAATCGTTGTAGAATTGTTACAACGCTTATAATTAATTATATAAAAATTAATGATGCATCTTCTACAAATAATAATTTGAAATTAGAAGTTTATTTTATATATATATTAGGTTTTACCAAATATATATGTGTTGCTGACGAGTTATAATTGTCACTATACCCACGTCATAGTTATTTATTCTACTATTATTCGTTATTTAGCTTCATATTGTGTCATCAAAACACATTGACATCAATAAATGCCAAAT